AGTAACGATCATAGCGTGTTGCGTTCCGTTCGTCGCCTTGCATTCAACAACAGCGTCACTGATACAATGCATGGAACTCATTCTTCGGTCGTCGAACCTCTCAACCTCTCAACCTCGTCACCTCGCTTGTGTGTTGCCGCCCCCTTACAAAGCCTGCCAAGCTTCAAGCTCAAGCGCCGAGCGAAACGCCCTCGACCTCGCGCCGCAAGAGGGCCGCGTCAAACGCCTCGTTTGCCGCATCGTGCCGCGCCAGCAGCTCGTGCGTGGGCGCGGCGGCGCGCAGCTGCCTGTGTGTTTCGTTGTTGTTGTTGCCGCGCGGGGGGGGGAGGGGGAGGGGCTGGGCGTCAGCAACACAGCATCTATGAGATGTTGGCTAGCCCCACGCTATGCGTGCGCGGGAGAAGGGAGGCAGGGAATAAGGCGAGAAAGAGGGAGGCGTTGGAAGCTCCCGGGAAGGAAGCAACGCGCAAGATGCACAAGGAGCAAGGGAGAGGTAAGGCGGAAGGGCAGTGAAGCGTGGCAAGCGGCACCCGCGTGGGGGGGGGGGGGGGGGGGGGGGGGGGGGCAAACAAACAAACAACAACTCACCAAGCCCTTGGCCAGCATCAGCGTCTCTGCTGCGCCCTTGCGATCGCCCTGCACGAGCATGGCGACGGCCTTGCCCACGAGTGCCGGCACGGCCGTGGCGCTGGCGACGTATGCCGGGTCCGCCGCCAGTTCGTCGTACACGTAGTAGGCCTGCTGAGCGGCACGCCCGCCCGACGTCAGGCCCAGGTAGGCTTCGATCAACTTGATGAGTTTTGCCCCGGGGGGAGGGGGGAGGGAAGTGAGCAGAGGAGAAGGGAAGGGGGGGGGGGACGACAAACGTACTTGGATGAGAAGCGAGTCATCTGCCCATTGCCGAGCGGCGGCATATTCCTTCTGTGCCAAGTCGGCGCGATGGATGCGCAGCAGAATGTTTGCTGCCAATGCCGTGCTGTTGTGTGCCCATCTTTGCTCATCAGCGCCCCAGAATACTCACCGCAGCCACGCCCTCTCGCGAAATACGCACCACTCGATCTCCTTGCGTCCCTCTCCGACGCCCAGATGAATGAGTGCCTCTTCGTAGCGCTGCACCTGTGCCAGGGCCGTGGCGAGGGCGATGTCGACTACATATTCCTCCGGCTCGCCCACCACTACTTCATCCTTGATCTGCTCCATCTCGCCAATCGCGCTCTCCATTGCGCCTTCATCGGCGAGCTGATTGGCCTGGGTGAAGCGCACGAGGGAGCGGAGTGCCTTGGCTGCGGAGCTGGGGGGCGAGGAGGAGAGGAGAGAGAGGGCACTGGAGACGTCATTGAGCGCCAGCGCGGCTCGGGCGCCGTAGAGGGCTGCGCGAGGGGAAGAGGAGAGCGAGGCGTCGGAGGAGGAGGCGAGGGAGAGCGCAGAGACGTAGGCGCCGCGATGGAAGTGCGACTGCAGCGTGAAGAGGGCGTCGTCGGACATGGCGCAGGCGAGGCGAGTGGTGGTGGTGAGGGAGCAATGAAGGAACAAGCACGCACGCCGCCCAACACTAGACTGACACCGACCAGCACACGCTCCCCCCGGCCCATCACGTGGTGCTCCCACGCACGCGCCACCTCCATCAGCTGGGCGCAGCAGGGGCCAGCAGCGCGGCGGCGCTGCTTGTCTCGACGCGTGCGACTGCCGCGAGTGGCACGCGCCTCTCGAGCCCCTTGCTTCCTCACCACCACCACCACCATCCCGCCCCCGCCATGTCCTCCTTCTTCCGCTCCATGGGGCGTGCCTCTCGGCCCAAGAAGTCGCCCACGCACCCCTCGCTGCCCTTCAGCTCCGGCTCCGGCTCCGGCTCGGGCTCCGACGCCGCGCTCGCCGCCTACGCCCCTGCCTCGCCCGGCAGTAGCACACCGGGAAAGGCCCTCTACATGTGCAACCCCTTCATACGCAGCGCACTCATCAAGGGCAGCTTCAAGACCATCGTCGCACTGCCGAAATACGTAGACGAGCGCGAATGGCTCGCCGTCAACTGTGAGTGTGTGGCTTGTGCGAGCGCAAGAGCGCAGGCGCCAGACTCAAAGAACGTGAGAGGCGCCCAGAGGGGGCGTGCCCCCTTTTGGCGTGGCCGGCAGGGTTTGGCGAGTAGACGCGCAGCGTGGTGGGCCTCAGTTCGTACGTGTGTTAAACTGCAGAGCACGCAACCCAACGTGCAACTCTTTGCGAGCACCCGAGCCTCGGCGCTCGGGGGGGCTTGAGCGCAGAGGGCCGCTGCAGCGAGAGCGAGAGAGAGAGAGAGAGGGAGGGAGGGA